CTAGATTTGGAATTGTACACTGGGAATTAATTTCTAGGGGAACTGGGCTTAATGAAGATCTCTATCTTGCAATCCTGGACCGCGTTCAAGTTGCCATTGATGGTTTTACAGTTCATGGACGGCGTCAAGGCCAGGTTGTTTTCCATCAGGACAACGCGCCTCCACACCGTGCAAATGCAAATCGTTCTAATCATTTATTTTAAAGTTCTAATCATTTATTTTAAAAATTTACATTCGACATCATTATAGCCATGAACAGCTTGCAAAACGTCTTCGATTTTATGAATTGAACCCTTTTCAAAAGGTTTCATTACGTTACGATTTAAGGGATGCTCCACAGTTTTTAGAACAAGTACTGAACTTCCATCATCTTGGATTAAATAAAAAAATATTCTACAATAAAATTAAGATTTTAAATATTTTTAAAAAATTTGAAAAAAATCGCATACAAAAGCATGCTTGAAGGAGGAAAAAATTAAATTTATATATAAGTTACATTGTTTTGCATCTATTTCAATTTCGTATTGTTTTGCTATATTTAAATCAAGCCCATGGTATGGTCCTTTGGCAGGCTCTCCAGTTCCTTTAGAACTTCCTGCCACTCCGATTCCGAATAGCTTTTGAAATTTTTTTTTCATTCCAGCTCCAATTGCATATTCAATGCAAATCAAAGAAAAAATCAAAAAGAAAAACATTCTTTTTTTAAACAATGAATTTGGTTGTTTTAAGAAAATCATCTGGAAAATTTGTAAATATTATAGTATAACTTGGGCTATCAAGTGAAAACAAATTAAGGATTGTTTATTTAATGTTCAAATTTAAGAAAATTAAAAATTAATAAAAATTAAACTGCTTGTTGAATGCGATTCAGCGCTTATTTATACGGTTCCATAGCCTTGTCGAACATGTTCATTGAGGCGGAGCATGTCCTGACATGCGCGTGTCTGTAAATTTCTCTAACAGCATTTTACATGGCCTTTTTTAATTAATATGCTTCTCATGCTGTCCAGCTAGTACACATTTATACATGTATAATTTTTATCAAAGAACAAATTCAGTTTAAAAGACATTGATTCTTAAGACTGTCACTCAACATATGACACTCTCGACGGCAAAATCACTCATGTGGCCCTACACGATATAATTTTCATCAAAGAACAAATTCAGTTGAAAAGACATTGATTCTTAAGACTGTCATATGTATAATGGCACTCTCGACGGCAAAATCACTCATGTGGCCCTACACGATATAATTTTTATCAAAGAACAAATTCAGTTTAAAAGACATTGATTCTTAAGACTGTCACTTTCTTAAGACTGTCATATGTATAATGACACTCTCGACGGCAAAATCACTCATGTGGCCCCGTTTAAATGGACAGAATGCTTCTCCTGTCTAACAGGCATAAAATTTTAGTGAATGTTGTCAAACGAGTGCGTTTTAAAAAAATGTGACCGAATTGAACATTGTGTACGATTGTGCTTAAATGCTTAATTGAATTCATATGACACGTTAGTCAGTGCCTCTATCACATGAATCGAGTACACTTTCATTCGATTTTGGGAATATGCATGTCAATAGTTGCACTCTCGATTTCAATCAAATGCCATGCCATTTTGGCATTAACAAATTAAATTTTTATATTAAAACATAATTTAACTCTAAAACATACAACTTGGTCGTAATTTAGCCTGTTTGTTATTAAAATGTAATGTATTTCTTAGCTACTTATTAGAGGTATAGAGATTTTGAGTTAGCTTATTTCTGGTCTTAATTGGGTTCTACTCTGTATATTTAATTATCAGTGTGAGGTTCCTCGCCATAGTTTGAGTATATCGGATAAGAGTAAGCTTGGCTCTTAAGGCAATGAACCTTCAATAATTTAAATCGTGTTCTTCCCCATTTGAACTTGACACACAAAAAATTTATTTTAAAAATAACATCTAAATCATATCAAAATCCTTCCAAAACATATCAATTATAAGCAGGAATGTTATCAAATCCTGGTCGAATAAACATGTGCTGTGCTCTCTTTGCCTCAGGCGTTTCTACTACTTTCTCCAATGGATGCTCGGCTTCTCCAAGTAGATGTCGAGCATCTCCTGTACGTGTGTCTATGGGAATAGGCATTGGAATATCAATTTCTTCGAGTGGATCGCTTGTCAAGGGCCTGAAAATTTGGAATAATTTTGAGGAATTTTAGACAGGAGTATTGGACAAAAATGGGCCGACTCGGTCCGCAAGGTCTGGTCATTCATAAGATAACTGGACTTAAAGTGACTCACATGGCTTGGACTGAGGCCCAAATTGACTTCGGCCTATCTCGCAAACTTAGACCCTAATACTCTAATTAAAAGTTTTCTCCAATAATTCTATAAATTTTATTCTCCGTATAATATAAAACATGACAAGGAAATTATGTATTCTAAACTCAAAATTCATTTTAAAATCTTTCAGTTCCTTCTTATTCTATTGGGTTATACGAAGCAACATGTTCAGACCGAGCCCTAAAATATAAGCATATAATAAGAGTACGGTAAAGTTTGGCTTCGAGCGGGCATCGATCCTGCACCACCCTCACAATCATTTCTAGGTCTTTTAGACTCTAAATAGCCATGCTAAGTTGCTCTACCGACTGAGCTTTACATTAGAATTAACTCTACTTTTAAGTGCCTGGCCTTATTATGGTTCAGAATTTTTCTAAAATACCCGAGTAAGGTCCTTTTTTAATTTAAAAATTTATTCCGAACCTATAAAACGCATGTTGTGCCCTTTGCGGACTCTCGGAACGACGGCTGAGTACAGTAGCCAAGGATTGACGTGAACCTCTAAGTTCTCTCTCAACAGCCTGGACTGGGATCGGGGCAGGAATATCCATCTCTTCAACTGGAGATGGTAAGATTTTTGGGGACGGTGAAGGCTTTGGAGTAGGTTTCTTCGGTGTTGGTTTTGTTAGTGTAGGTTTGCGTTCTTCAATTATTGGTTGAGGGCGAGGGGCTTAATATTAATAATATTTTTAAAAAGTAACTTTCAGATTTATAATCCTAGTCACATTTATGATCATCAATTTTGCTAAGCTTTGTACCTTCTATAAATTTTTCTTACGAGTTCAGCAAATCTAGACCGTTATTAGCGGGTTTTAACATGATAGGGGAGTCTTATAACAGGAGAGAGAGGGAGAGTGATGATAACGGGGGTATAGTAAACCCCACATTAAAACCGATAAAGTCATTTTACTATTGGAGATGGTTACTACATGTTATAGGGGATACTTGCTTTTGACTAATATTAACCATAAAATAGTTGCGGGTAGTTGGTATCAGTCTTAATAAATCCCAGCTTAAGCTAAAGCCTCCATCCGACACCCACGGGCTGAAGGATAGGGGTATATCTAAGGGAATAAATCCTCTAAGGGGGTATATCAAAATAAGCGGCCTATTATTGAGTCAATCTAAGGTTATTTTATGTTCGACCTTTGTATTTGTTAAATTAGAGTTTAGAAAGTATTATTCTTTATCAGTGAAGTGAATGAGATAATGTGATAAAAAGGGAAAGTAAAAGACTAATGAACATATTAGTGAGGAAAATTAAAGTTTGAAAAATCTAGATCGGCAAATGTTAATTAAAAACGGCAAGTCAAGTTAAAAATGTGAATAAAATGGCAAGTGCTTTTGTTGGCAGTTGTAAGGAAAATATTAGAAGAAAACAGGGTTGATTAGAAAATATCAAATTTTAAAAATATTTTTTAAAGTCAAATTCTTCGAGAATCCAGGCTTCCTCGCCGTTCTCCGCCAGTTTTTTCAACCTGTTCAATTTCTTCGTGGAATTCCTCCTCAAAAGTTTCCTCCTCGTGGAAGGATCGACGGAAAGGTCCACCACGCTAATAAATAAATAATTTTTTGTTAGAAATATTCTCTCAAACTTATTCATCAACAAGTAACTCTATTACGGTAAGTCTACTATAAGATACCTCCCTTTGCCCGAAGATTATTATTCCAGAATGTCTGTACCAGGGATCTTTTTGCCCCAGTTTCCCGAAGATTGTTAACTACCAAAGTTTCTTTGGATCGGGAATTCATGATTCCCATAATTTGGGAAATAAAATTTCCTCTGGAATTCCCGATCATGCAAATTGGGAATTTATCTTTTACGTCGACAGGATCCCTGGTTTTGGGGGATGGTGAAGGCTTTGGAGTTGGTTTCTTCGGTGGTGCTTTTGTAGGTGTTGGTTTACGTTCTTCAATTATTGGTTGTGGGCGAGGGGCTTAATATTAATAACGTTTTTAAATGTAACTTTCAGATTTATGATCCTAGTCACATTTATGATTATTAATTTATCCAAGTTTAGTTCCTTCTATAAATTTTTCCTATGAGTTCAACAAAGCTAGACCATTATTAACGAGTTTTAACATTATAGGGGAGTCTTATAGCAGGAGAGAGAGGGGGAATGATTATCGAAAAGTATTGTAAAACCTATATTAAAACATATAAAGTCATTTATGATTGAGAGATGGTTACTACATGTTATAGAGGATACATGCTTTTGACTAATATTTATTAACCATAAAATAGTTGCGGGTAGTTGGTATCAGTCTTAATAAATCCAAGCTTAAGCTAGAGCCTCCATTTGACAGCTGGAGCCTTCATTTGACACTCACGGGCTGAAGGATAGGGGGTATATCCTCTAAGGGGTTATATTAAAATAAGCGGTCTAATATTGAGTCAATCTAAGGTTATTTTATGTTTCACATCTTATATTTGTTAAATCAGAGTTTAGAAAGTATTATTCTTTATCAGTGAAGTGAATGATATAATGCGATAAAAAAGTGAAAATAAAAGACTAATGAACATATTAGTGAGGAAAATAAAAGTTTGAAAAATCTAGATCGGCAAGTATTGTTTAAAAACGGCAAATCAAGTTAAAAAAGTGAATAAAATGGCAAGTGCTTTGGTTGGCAGTAGTAAGGAAAATATTAGAAGAAAACAGGGTTGATTAGAAAATATCAAATTTTAAAAATATTTTTTAAAGTCAAATTCTTCGAGAATCCAAGCTTCCTCGCCGTTCTCCGCCAGTTTTTTCAACCTGCTCGATTTCTTCATGGAATTCCTCCTCAAAAGTTTCCTCCTCGTGGAAGGATCGTCGGAAAGGTCCACCACGCTAAATTTTTTGTTAAAAATATTTCTCACAAAGTTATTCATCATAAAATATTCTCATTACTGTAAGTCTAGTATAAGATACCTCCCTTTGCCCGAAGATTATTATTCCAGAATGTCTGTACCAGGGATCTTTTTGCCCCAGTTTCCCGAAAATAGTGAATTACCGAAGTTTCTTTGGATCGGGAATTTACAATTCCCAAAATTGGGAAATAAAATTTCATCGGGAATTCCCGATCATCGAAATTGTGAGTTTATCTTCTATGTCGACAGGATCCCTGGTTTGTATCCTAAACTGTGGTTATCGTCCATGCACCTCCTATGTTATTCTCCTCCACCTCCTATCTCTATCACCTTATGACCACCAAATTTAAAAACATTTTTTAACTTGTGAATGTCTTTAGTTGGGGTATCTTATAGTTAGATCACACAGCATATCAACTTACCTGTCCACTTTCAACAGTCCTCACCTCCTCAGTCTTCCGCCCTCCATTAGGCATTTCGGCATAGCTTACTCGATCACTTTAAAATTTTATTTAAATTTCCCAAGTAATTTTAGAATAACCGGAAGAATCGATCTCTATCGGCATCCCTATCAATTTCGCCATAATCAGCACCACCTCGATATCCATCTCCATAGGGTCGTGTTCCTCTCGAGCGACGAGTTGTGGAGGCTAAATAATTTTTTGTTAATTTCACAACATATGGGTTAACTTGTTATTTTTTTGAATGAGTTAATTAGAGACGGACTGGGAGTGTCTTATGAGAATTGAGTTTGATATCTCAGAAAATCTCGATTTATTGAAAAATCTTGCTTTAGAAAAATCTCGATAAGGCTTAACAAATGATTGAGTGTATGGAGATTGATATCTCAAAAATTTCTGTGACCGAGATTTTTGTTCGAGATCCCATTTCGGTCCTTCTCTAATCTATTGATGACTGATTATTAATTAAATTGTTAAAAATAAATTCAAAATCAGTGCTTTTTAGGGGTAAATGTTAAATGTGCTTTAAATTATGTGACTGAGAGAATACCGTATTCCTCTAAAATAATGCCTCTAAAGGGCTTTTCAAATTGTTTTAGAGGACTTAAGTAGACTTATCAAATCAAAAATTAAAAAAATTTAAATTTAAAAAATTAATTACATCTTTTGCCGGTTTCCTTCACTCCACCTTTGCGCTTGGCACAGCACAATTTGTAAAGTAGGTAGAGCAAAGCCTAATTTTAATAAAAAATTTTTTAATTTTTATAAATAATCCCATACAAGGAGTAAAAGTAATGCAAGTAGCAAAAGGAGAATAAGCAGCCATAAAGGTATAGGGGCAGCGGCCGCTGCAGGTATGCAACACGCGCGACCACAACAGGACAAATGCGCATCACATCTTTAAAAAAAATAATTTTTAATTGATTCTATTTTTTAATTAAAAAAATTTTGATAGAAAAAATTTTGAAAATTAAAAATAAAAAATATTTTAGAGACAAAACAAAGCTTTGGTTGTTGCGGTACCACTCACAGGGAGAAGGATTTACAAGGGAGGTTAATTATATTCATCATAAGAAGGATCAAAACATTATTTAATATAGTCGGACCTTTAATTTATCTATCCAATTGGTACAGAAAAAATCATAGATTTACAGAATGGATTTGCATGGAGCATAGAAGGCATCTCATAGGAAGTCAAGACGTTCTATGCCCATCCCCACCACGTGGCCAACCAAAATTTATAAACGTATTTAAACTCGAGAGTGTATATAAATTTTGGGCTCAATTGTATACCCTCGAGTCCTGGATTATGACCCCTCGAGTTTAGGATTATGTTCTCGATTAGCTCATATCGAGATTTCTCGAGATATCGATATAAACCTTCCCAATCTGGTCTGTGTTTAAAAGTATTTTTGAATTATTTTTAATTTTATTTTATAATATAGGAGAAAATATAATGAAAAATTAGTAGGTAATGATAATTTAACATTATAAATATTTTATTCAGATTGACCTAAATTCGTAGCGCTCATTACGGCCTTGAACATCAGCCTCCTCATAAATGCACTGCCTAAAATCGCCCGAATAGGGCTCATAATAAATTCCAGTGGAATCTCTCTGAGCCAATAAATCGGTCATTACTTAAATTGGAATTGGAGGAAAATTAAATTTTTAGGGGGAAAAATAAATTTAAAAAAATTTTTTTAAAGAAAAAATAGTAAAATTGTCTATATAACACAAGAGGAAAATAAAATCGCGCAAAAATTCAATTTCCATTAACCACACTAATTTAGAAAAAAAATAGTAAGAAAGGAACTCTACTAATTTAAAAGAATGTTTGGGCAAGTTTCTTTTGTTTGCTTTACTAGCCCTCTCAAAAACTTTCCGACTAATAATTAATGAAAGTTGAAAAAAGGGAAAAAATAATTTTAAAAATAAAAATAATTATGAAAAGAAAAATTTTCTGCTTAAAGTCAAGGTTAAATCCCGAGAAGATTAATCAATTTTAGCAAGTCTAGAAATATTTTTTCTGGTAATAAAATATCCCAAATTAATATAGATTTATTATTAAAGAGTAAGTATCGGTAGTAGGACAAGGGTTGGCGGATCAAGGGAACCCCTTGGATCGGGGATCTTCGAATTGACGTTTTGGCGTCCATTTTTGCCCGATTTTGGCGTTCTGGTGTTTCGCGTGTTTTAAAAATTTGAAAAATTGACATTTTGCCATGAAAAAATTTTGGCGCAAATCCCTGCCCTGATCCAATATCAGAACTGAAAATTCATTTGCCTTAAATACAGACATCTTTTGCCCTTCAAGGAGAGGTTGGCAGATCATGGAAAATTAATGGATACGGATATCCCTAATCTTTCCGGATTCGATATTCACAGAATTCAATTCTCCAACTTTCGGGCTTGTTTATATCGAGTCAGGTCATACAAGTCATTTTCAGGCAACATATCTTAGGCCCGACTCGATCTTTCGGTCCGAATCGGTCCGTTTTGGCAGCCCTATTTTTAAGAATATAAAAATTAAATTAAAATAAAAAAACAATTTAGTAGAGTATGCACTTTAACGTAAAAAAATAAAAGATTTCCGGCCGGTGTGTGTTTTCATCCTTGTATACATTTTAAAAATGTTCCTTTCTTCCTGCCAGCCGATTCTATATAAATTGAATGTATTTTTATTAGGGCTGGTTGAGTCCCTCGCTGATCACCCCTTCAATAATTTTGTAATTCTACTCAAAAGGCTCCTTTCCTCGTTTATTTTTTGTTGACTAGGCTTTTTTAAGTGTTATTTTTCTTATTGACAGATGGGAATGTATAAAAATAGTACAAACAAAAAACTGGTTATTTTCTGCGCTTCTCTGTCCTATTTTATATTATATTCGTAATGTTTCAATAAATAGGTTATAATTGAAAATATAATTTTGAAGGATTATTAATAAGATAAAGCGATATTAAGATTTCAGACATTGATGGGTATGGCTTCGGGAGCTAGAACACTTGTCGGATCCGTTACATTTTAGGAATCCTGAAAATATGTATACTACCGGATTTCCTCTAGTTGAATGTACGGGCATTCTATTTTTCAATCATCTCTCATAGGGGCATTGGAGATCATTATTCCGAATCCCGATCTCGGTCAATCCCGATGGCTGATCCGTTACATTTTAGGAATCCTTAAAATACGTAATATACCGTATTTCTTCTAGTTGAATGCCCGGACACTATTTTTCAATCATCTCCCAGAGGGATATTCGAGCTCATTATTCCGAATCCCTACCTCGGTCAATCCCGATCCCCCAGTCGGAATTGGGAGCTGGATCGAGATCATCATTTCAAAATAACAATCACGATTTTACGTCTGATCCCGACCACCCAAACTCTAGCCTTGATAACGGGTTATTTTCTGCGCTTCTCATTATCCCGATCCCGAATCCCGATCTAGTCATTTTCTTGGTATAGGACTGTCGATTTTGAGTCTTTAGATATCCAGAGCTGAACCGATAAATCCTCGGTTCCCCGTTTCGAGCTTTTATTCTAATTTTTAAATTAACCATATATTTTTTAAAAAATCTTTATATATTTTATAATTAATTGAGAATCAAATAGTAAGACCAATAGCAAATATTCATAATTATAAAAGCGATAGGAAATATTATTCTTGATTTTTGATCAATTTTATTTGCCATCTCTCGGCCCCTTAGCTGGCCTATTGTCCTTTTGAGAAAGTGTGCACGTGTGTGGAGCTGTAATTGAATTATATAAATATGTATTTTTGGAATCCCACCCGAATTTTCAAACCCCTACCCGAAATTCTACCCGAATTTTTGTTCTAGTCATTTTCTTGGACCCAAGAAATACTACTTTCTCTTTATAATAAAGCCTAACTTAAATCTGACCCCCAAGTTTCCGGTTTTGTCACATTACCCAAACCCGGAACAATTGGGAATCCATATACACCTCAGGAATTTTTAGATTCGTAAATGAAATTTGGTCAGGTTTTGGGTTAAAAGTCCGATTTTCAGGTATCGATTTTTGTACCCATCTCTATTACATCATGCTCACGAACTTCGGATACGTTCCTAATTACAATTCCTGCCTTTGTAATTAATACATAGAATACTTTTAACAGAATTCCGTCTTTAATAGACTAATAATAATAGGTCTTCAAAATAGAAGGATTACGGTAGAGTGAGAGAATATTAAATTTATCATAAATTCACCTGATTCCTTATTATTCTTGCTGAGTCTCTAAATGAATTTTTCCTTCTTACCCTCTGAATAATTTTTTGCTCGGGTTCGATACAAAAATGTTCAGGGAGTGATCTAAATTTTATTTTAAATTTAATCCTGAATAAGCTTTGAATCACCTCGATATCCTTTTAAGTCGAGGATCTTCAAAATTAAACATATTTACGCTTAAATGATTTTTGCCACTATTTTGGCGTTCAAGAGTAGTTTTTGAGCTTACTTCTGAATCCACATCTTTGTTAAAATAAATTTAAAAATATTTTTAAATTTATTGTGTTCAAATTCACCTTCTCTCCCTGCTTGATCTGAATCAAACCTTTGCTGAGTGCTTTGCTCATTTTTACGTTTTTTGCTACTATTGCGTGATACCTCGTTCTTGTGGCTTACGCTTCCGTTAGATAAGACTCCACAAACTTTTTTACACCAATGCCTGAAATATTGTTAGAAAAATTTTTGGTTCCCTTTTTTGTGGATCAATCACTCTTTTAATTCCCTCTGATTTGAGGTAATTCCTTCTTAATAAACTGTAAAGTTTCTGAATCAACTACTATCTTTTTCTCTATCTGCCCATTATTTTATATGTTCTAGTTGTTATCTATTCAATTCTCCCTTTACAGTATCCGGCTTTCTTTCCACTCAGGCATCAATTAGAATCTTACCTCCCGTAACCCAATACTTCTCTTACTTTTATGCATGATTATGTCCGGATATAAAGAACGAAACTCATCTTCATGGGTTCAGTTTGATCCTAATCTCCGATTTTAATTAAATACCTATGCATCTGTTCACTTGTCAAAATCCCTTTCTCTATCTGTCCATTATTTAGAGGTGAGTTTGTGTTGATTAACAAAGGATTAAATTGGCCAATATCGTTATTATTAACAATATCCTCTTCATTATTAACTCCATTCCCGGGAGAAGCAGAAAAAGCATTTGCTGCATTGAAAATTGACTGTAAAGTTTCAGAATCAACTACAAGCGGTGGTTGTTGATTGGAAGATGATTGAAAAATCTGAGGTAGTTCTTGGTTCTTGGCAAAATGAGCGATGGTATATTCAACCATTACAGCTGAGATAAAATTATATAATTTATTATTTTTTAGTTCGGCTGTATCAAAATTCTAGGCTTGTCTTAGACATGAAATCCGACTTTCTTTTAAAAAGGTCCTAATATAATATTTTTATTTTATTTACCAAAAACAAAAGCCAGGCACAATCCCATCCATGAATCTATTGCCTTCATGTACGAAACTTCTGGCAACGCAAGTTTTACGGCGTTTGCTTGTGTTTCGATAGTAAGAAGTGTTGTAATTGATAAAGTTACACGAGCGGGAGCAGTATCTATATCTAGCCAGAAGTTGAACCTGAATTTGAAAGTAAGGAGAGTCCAATTAAACTCGAATATCTCTCAATCTCTCTAAAAGACCAACTAGCTTTAAGTTTTTTCTTATTCTCTCAGAGAAAATCTATCTTGAAATCTCTCGATGCTTAACTATCTTTCAATCTCTTATGGCTCAACTATCTCTCAATCTCTCAAAGGCAAACTATCTCGAATCTCTCAAGGCGCAGCTATCTCTCAATCTCTCAAAGGCCAACTATCACGCAATCTCTCAAGGCACCACTTTCTCTCAATCTCTCAAGGGCCGACTATACAATCTCTCGATCTCTCAAACCTAATCTATCCCTCAATATTTTTTATTCAATCAAATCTCAACTATCTCCCAATCTATCTTCACTTATATCTCCTAAACAATTTTCAATTAAAAATTCACCATGATATAACGACAATTAAGGACGTAGGCACATAGGTCTGAATTATATGATGGAGCATTTCCCGTTCAACTGTTTCAATTTAGCTTTGTTAAAATACGATTTGCTCAAAATTATTTACCATAAAATACTGCTGTCATGCAGCTCCAAACCCCTAGGGATTCAGAAAAAATTTTTAAGAATTTATTTATCGATATACCTATAGCATAAGTTCCGTTACATTCACCCATCCTATAAGGAATATACAATTAACTATTAGGAACTTTTGAGTGAATTTTAAATTTAGAACCTGATATCAACTAAGCGCATGTCTGAATAATTAAAAATTATGCTAAATTTTTCCAAATTTTATAGTTAAGATACCTGGCATTTTAATGTCAGGATTCCTATCAATTGGAGGTTTTATCTTCTTGGACCTTAAAAATTATTTTTTGAAAGTATAATAAGGATACATTTCAGTCGGATCTCACTATGATAAAAATAGTGACTTATAATGAGGGTCTTATATGAAGCATCGTCTAATTAGCTTCCACTGACCCAGAGTTTGCCATCTCAAAAACTATTTTAAATTGAGGTGTTTCCTTTATTGGGAAGTTCTTGAATAGGGGAGATCACACAGACGTCTACCCTCTCTACCACCCGTGGTCATCTAAATTAATAACCGTATCTTAAATTGAGATCTATCTTTTATTAAGTAAATTTTATAGCAGATCCGACTGTTTATTGATAAATTAATCTCACCATCTAAGCCTCAAATGAGATTCAGGATACGCATAACTAAGTATTCTAAGTTCACAAGTCTGCGAATCCAGTGGATATTTCCATAAGTTCATCATGCATATAGCAACGAGAGAAATTCTCAAGTCATACCAAACCCTTTATTTTTGTAAATTTATTATTTTTTAATTTTCAAAAATTTCCACCTTCCATTGGGAAATATCCAAACATAAAAATTGGGTTCGGTTATTGACTGGAATGAGGCTTGTCGAGCATTTGCAAAATAAATATCAGGACGCCAAATCTTCTGAAAAATATTTTTGAAAATCTTTAGCTCTTTGTTATAATGCTTTAAATGGATAAGTCATATAAGGGCAAGATGGTGCCTGTTGGGTGGGGACGTTCGGAAGGATAGGGGGACGTTCGGAAGGATAGGGGACGTTCGGAAGGATAGGGGGACGTTCGGAAGGACAGAGGGGCGGAGAGACGTTCGGAAGGAGACAGACATAGGGACGTTCGGAAAGATAAGCTCCAAGTTTTTTCAAGTCAGAGGAACCTTAAGTGGAGTCTACTAAAAAATTTTATAATGAAAGTTTAAAGGAACTCTTCTGAAGTCCAGAGTGACTATCCAGAAGACCTGCGCCTGTCCTTTATCATCCTATGGGTCACACATAGTCTTAATCCCAAAGAGTTACATTACCCTTACATTACTTAAGTTCACAAATAATTTAAAATTAATTACATTAAATATCTCTTTATCTCTGATGAGTAGAGGGCCTGATCCATTATGCTTAAGACGTTCATCTCTCCATTCCTTTAGTTATAAAATTTTTGAAATTTTTCCAAAAATTACTTGATACATATAAACATCTAGTTGATAATCCATAGTTTGGGCGCTGAAGCTAGAAATGCCTTCAATGAACATTGACATTGATACGTTTGTTGCTAGTCCTGATAATTTTTTTAATTTTTTGGATATGTATAGTAGGACCACGCTTTTATTTATCAAATGGGGATAAAAAATGTATTCTAAAATAAAGAGATGTGCGTTGATTGAGAGTGAGTGTCTCTTGAGGTTGAAATTCTCAATTAATCAGCTGGTCCCGATCTAATTATCGAGCAAATAACAAATCGTATATAAAAATGGGGTAATTGAGTAGTAATTTGGATCCCAAGTGATCTCTTGGGATCGCTCAATCACACCTGATGGAGGGTTTAATTTGAACATCTGTCCCGATCCAGAAGTAAACCAGATCAAAAATGCGAGATATATTGTGAGAACGAGACTTGACTCAAAATTTTTAAATCAAAATATTAAATTGCCTTTATGTTGCGTAGGTGTGGCATATTTATTATAGCGATTTTCGTCTTCCAAACGAGCAATAAAATCTTTAATAATAAAATATTTAATAAGCTTTATCCAAGGTTATCTTATTGGGTTTAATATGTATCATGAGGTATGGAATAGTCTCTCAAATGAGATACAAAACTTGTAGATATTCAGGTTCAGTTAGAACTGCCCCGGACTTTAAGAGTGTGTATGACAGGTACGGGGTTGTTTCTCAACTTTTCTTGGGTTACTAAACCTTGAAAAAAATTTATACCTTTAGTTATAGGAACTAATGTTGTTGGTCTTTCATCATTCGGACCTCCATATACTGTATTCGATATAAATAAAAGTATAAATGTTGGAATTAATTTAGATTTGAGCAAAATTTTTGAAATAAATATTATATGCATTTTCAAAACTAAAATTTTAAAAATTTGTTTATCAATCGGGTTTCGGCTGTTCACGTGCAATCATATTCACGTGCAATCTTGTAGTTAAACATTTTTATGTTGATTGATTACAGGGTAAGGAGCTCTGGCTACTAGAGATCGGACCAACGGCAAAATCAAATATTTGATCAAATAAAAATTTTTTTTAAAATTTTGGAATACCATAAAAATCGGAGTATTTGAGAGTATATTGGGGATATTAGGATATAGAATGATATTGGAGGATTAAGATGGAAGTGGAGGGAGTAAGGGTGCTACATGGCAATTGGAAGGATTAAGGGGAATATTAGGGGATTTGGAGAGATTAAGAAGCTATGAGGTGTATAGGGATATCAGGTGATATCAGGTGACATCGGGATAACACTCGTATTCCAAACTTGGTTATATAAGAATATGGAGATATAAGGATATAAGGATATTGGGGATATAAGTATATGGAGATGATATTGGAGGATTAGAATGGATGTGGAGAGATTCAGGGTGATATAGAAGGGAATCGTAAGGATCAAGGGGAATATTAGGGAGGGGATTTGGAAAGATTAAGAGGTTTGAAGGGATATATGGATATCAGGTGATTCGGGATAACACTCATAATCCAAACTTCTTATTTTATTGTCTAATTCAATGGGCCAATAAAAAATGAACTAAAATGGATAATCTGAGGCTGTGTGGCTAATTTAAGGCTAAAATCAAAATAAAATTTTAAAAAACTTTCGTGTGAAGAGAAAATTTCTGAAAAAAGTTTGAAGATTTTTTGTGCAAAAATAAATTTTTTAATTATTTATAGAATTTTCTCACTCAAAAAATTTACAAATATTTATAGTTTTAAGAATCTTAGTTTGAGTAAACAAAAGTGATTTATGTTTTAAATTAAAGCAAAAAGTGTGTTTTTGTAATTTTAAAAACATTTTTTGTCAACAAGACTAAATTAAAATTAAAAATAAAGCGAATGAATCATAATTAACAAAAATAAACAGTAGATTTATCGAGAAAAAATTTTTTTAAGCAATTAAAGCCGAACCAGACAGGCATCTTTATTGTGTATTATCTCTTGTATGTATCGGGAATTGTGAATCGGATCGGTGCAATCCCTGGTAAGTATATGGAGGATATCATTCCTAAGGTCGAAACCACTCCTAATGTCGAAAATACAAGTGGCTGTATAGTTATGTGGAGGTAATTTTGTCAGGTAAAGTGAAAAATAACTGAATAAAACTTAATAATTTCTGAAAAAGCATAATAATCGGTCCATTTGCTGCTTGTCTATTATATTTAAGCTTAAAAATTTCCAAATTCATATTTAAGCGGGAAAAATTTTGAAAAATAGGGTGGCTGTATATATGTGGAGTATATCTGATACCTCTTAAGCCTAAAGAACTGACATAAGTATGAGAAAGATATAAAATTGTGTGAATGAGTATGCGAGAGTGAAAAAACTTGTAGAAATAATTTTATGTTGAAGCGAGGAAGAATTTAAAAACACATGATTTGGTAGATAAAAATGTTTATCAGTCATTATTAATATCGGACTTTCAAAAAACGACTAAATTCCAGGGTATGGCTTAAGAAATTCCAAGGTCAAGGCAGCTTTTGCTAAAAGAGGGTTCTGATGATGAGAAAGCGCTTTTCAGGTTTACATATAGTCCAATTATTTTTCCCAAACTCTTATACCAAAGCCATAATGTGAGGAGGGTACAGCCCAAGTAGGCGCGCGGCCAAGTAGGCGCAAAGCCATAACTTGCTTCAAGATTTTCGGATCCTTCAAAATTTAACAAGAAACGATTCCTCTCATCGAGCTAAAGAGATTGGTAACAAAATTGTTAAGGTCCAGAAATTTTCCAGGTAGTTATGGCTTTGCGCCTACCTGGCCGCACGCCTACTTGGGCGTGTCCCATGTGAGGAATATTCTGCAAACTTTAAAATAGCATCATATTGCGAAAATACTGTAACAGGATCTAAGTTATTTTTTAAATTCAAAAACACATTAATTCAAAAAATAGACAGAAAATAAAGTAAACAAATTTTAAAAATGATGAAAATATTGGGAGAGGTATTTGAGGTAATTCGAGATGGTCACATGCTTGAAAAAGTTCACATTTGGTCAAAAAAAATTTCAGCGGTAAATTAAAGTAATGAGAGCTTGAGGGAGTTATTAAGTGTGGGAATATTGTAATTTAAGTAAAAAAATTTTTTTTTAATTTTTAGGAAATAATTTTTTGCTTTTTAAATTATTAGATGATGATATAAAAAATGAAATTTTGAAATAAACTAAAAATTGGATTAGTTTAAAATTAAATGAAATAATAGGAATAAATGGATTAATTTATTATAATGAAAATTCTGTGAAAAAGTGAGTGAGTAAATCTGTTAGTTTTAAAATTTAAACTGTAAGCTCAATAAGGTACATATGTTTCAAAGCTAACCCCTTGGGTCTAAAAAAATTTTATCTTATAATGAGGTGTACATTAGATAGAGATACTCTCTGATGCCGCTCCACATACGAGCTCGAACCAAGAGAGTGTCTCAAAGATCGCTAACGAGATATAGTATTTAAGATATCGATCTCGATTCTAAAATGGCTCTATTTAAGTTGTCAAGCTCTATTTAAGTTCGGCCTAAATTCAAATACATTGGAGCTCTATTTAAGTTGTCACTTCCCTCCATTTACATTCGTCGGTTCCGAAAGTCGTTTCTTGCATAATTTGAGATACTCTCCCGTCGGTAAATTTCAGCCCTAAGGTGAATTAATAGAGAGATTACATTGTATACTGTAAGGAATTTAAAACTAGTTTTTTTTGAGCAGAAATTTAAAGTTTTTAGGATACATTATCTAAATTCCTCTGCTAATAATTAATTATTAAATACAAAATTTAAATAAGCAATATGTAGTTGCCTATATTTATAAAAAAATTTTATTAAAAAATTTTAATTAAAATTGTTCCAAAAATAAATATAATAACATCAATTTTATTAAAATAAATAATTTAAAAATTTTAAAATATTCCTAAGTCAAATATTTGTTCAAAAAATTATTAATTAAAAAATATTTTATTCTGATCTTTGTTCATTTTTCTGGCCAAACCTTTTTTTCGCAACTGACAGCAATAAAAGCGTTCCTTTTTAGGCTTTAAAAAATGAACAAAAATTAGTACCTTTAGGCTTTCCTTTCATTTTTGGAAACTGTCAAATAAACTCAAAAAAAGTTGTCAATTGCATCTGGCAGAAAAGAGGGAAGGTAAGGGAGAGGAAAGGAGGGAGGAATGGATGGGATGGGAGGGAGAGAAGGGAGAGAAGGGGTAGAAGGAAAGGGGAGGAAATGTGTTTTATATTATTTTGCTCCTGCTGCGCATTTCAAAAAAATTATTTTTTTAATATTTTGTTAATTGTTCCCAGAAATATTAACCAAAAAAATTAAATTGAATAAGAGAGGTATTAGTTAAGTTTCTCTCTCTCACTCGAAAGAGGTGCAGCCTAATCATGATAAAACGTCACCCTTCTGGGACCGAATTGAGACGACTAAGCTTAAAAAGAGTCTTCCTATAGAGAGTTATAGCTCTCTAAATTATATCCCTCGTTACCGAATTGAGATGACGTATTAATGGGACATGCTTACAGTGAAAGATGCTATAGAGATTGGACTATATGTGAAAAATATGAGCTTTAAGTCAAATATTTATCGCTAAGGCACATTCTCGTGACCGAAATTATGCTGACGTATTAAAGAGAGATACGTACTTAATCTTGTTAATCTCCATACTAACACCCAACTATCCATCTAGATACAACTACTGGTTCGCAGGACCCTTCGATGCTTAATATTCAGATACCAAAATGTCCTGCTTTAAGCTTCCAAGAAACAAAATCATTATTAAAAAAATATTATTATTCGTATTACAAAATATTTTTAAAATCAATTTTTGGTTCAAAGATTCAAAAAAATACTCGAAAAAAAAGAAAAACACTTCAAATAATTGACAGCCGTCCCTTTTTTATTTAAAAATTTACAAGCCTAAGGCCTATGTACATAAATGTTTAAATGCAAATTATGAAAAATGACGGGTTGCTTTATTGCCCAGCCTAAGGTAACGCAGCAGGGAATAAATAAAATAAATGAAAAAAAGGTCGAGTGTCAATAGTAGTGGGTTAAAAACTGCGGGTGGAAACAAATTAAACAGAAAAATAAAAAAATAAATAAAATATTTAGAACAGATAAAAATGAAACTTTAAAAGCAACTAATAATTATAAATCACCATAAAATTTTTAAAATTTTATCAATGTTTTGAGGTCGGATTCGACTGAAATTTTTTATCAGAGAATCTTCTTAGTCTTAAAAACATGATTACATAAAGGAATTTCAACTTTAAAAAAATATTAGAAAAATATTTTAAAATTTATGTGAAAAATGGGTGCTTCATAATTATAAATGCAATGAATTACGTACTAAATTAAAAATTTTTAAGAACCAAAAATTTCCTTTTAAGCTATATGAAAGCCGATAAAATTTTCTACAAGCTACAAAAAACTTATACAGTGTATCCGGAAATGATATAACCACCCAAATTTTCAAGTGTAAATCGTTTTCAATTTGTCTTATTTTCATAAAATTTTGACACAATATTTTTAATACCATTTATAGTGCCTATGCAAAATTGGAGAAAATATCATTTAGCTATAGAGACCGCTAGACCCTCAACCCTCAATTTAATATTGAGCATAAAAAAACGAAACATCAAAAAACTTGGATATTATTTAAAAATTATTTTTCGTGTCTTGTTTCAAAAATTAAAAAGCGTGTTAGTTTGGTTATTCATATTTACATAAATTTTAAATTAAGCTTAATACAAGAAAAAATATTTTTAAGCTTATTTAGCCTTCAAAATAAAATTAAAAATTAAATTATAAAAAAATAAAAAATAATAATTTTATTTATTTGGAGTCGGAAACAAAATTTTATTTTAAAAATGGAGAGAAAATAATGGAGAAAAAATAATGGAGAAAATAATGAGAATTTGAATTACTAGAAAATTTATAGAAAAAATATTGACGCAAACATTGTACCCAAGCATATGCTTGTTAATAAAGCCATGAGAAAAATTTTATTTTAATTATTAGTCCCGGAAGTTTCTGCCTAAATAATGAATAAATTAATTGTTTTAAATGTTTCTTTTATTTAATTAGTTAATTTAAATTTAGAAATAGAGGGGGGGCTTAGAAAAAGCAGGGCGGATAGGCCTTATCCTATAATGGAGATAAACTTGCAAGGGATGTGCCGAAACAGACTTAGAAAGCGAAAATGCTAATTATAAAGCAAACATGAACATAGAAAATGCGAAAGTCGAAACAAACTTAAAAGGCAAAACACACTTAATCACAAAAACGCGAAACTAATTCTAAATGACGAAACAAACGAGCGCAAAGACGAAAGAGGGGGGGGAAAGAGGGGATGCCCCCCTTTTAAAAGGGTTCGCCTTATAAAACGAAAGAGGAATTCGAAAATTAATTTGGCAACGAAGCCGAAATCCGAAAGCAAAATAACCGAAATCGTGTGAAAGAAGAAACGATGCCGTTTATTGGTAGTCGTTTCTAGAGGTCTAAACTTTCATTTTATATGTAAAAATATGGCAATTTTAACCATTATTCTTTACCTTTACTTTTTAATGTTTTCCTCGAAACAATTATGTGCAAAGACCTAAAGCTCAGCAACATATTTCCCTCAATTTATTGACCAATTTTCTTGTAAAATTATAGAAAGGAGAACAATTATTTGTTAGAGGAATTTAAAAAAAATTTCGGTTTAAGCGGAACGCTTTTTCAAAAAGGAATTAAATTTTAATAAAATAAAAATTGAAAAAATATTTTTGAGATGAATCAAAAAATTTTCAAAAAAAATTTCAGAAAAAATTTTCAAAAAGAAAATTTTCAAAAGAAAATTAAAAAAATTTTTAATCGAGATTTTCCAAAAAATTTTTCAGAAAAAATTTTCAAAAAAAATTTTTCGCAAAATTCTAGAATTTTTTTCTATTTTTATACATAAAATATTTATAAAAAATTGATAAAATATTTTTTATCAAAAATATATGCTTTTTAAATATTTAAAAATTTTGTTTTGGTGCATTTAAAATTAAATTTAAAAAATGTTTTAGTAAAGCTAAATCTTAGCTTTTTTGCTTAATTTGGGAAGGACGGGAATATTTTTTATAATTTAATTTTCCATGGGAAAAGATATTTTTAAAAAATAAACAAAATAAAAAGGAATACATATTTAAAATAATATTTAAAAATTTAAAAGATGGATTTATACATTTAAAAAAAATATTAAAAAATATATTTAATTAGGGTTACTAAAATGGCCCGACTCGGACCGAAAGATTGAGTCGGGCCTAAGATATTTGGGCTCTTGTCCAGTTAAGCGTCCAATCGCACCTTTATACGTCCACTCAACTTTTCTGCGTCCAATCACATTTTTAAGTACCCGGTTCTACACTAAATTACCGTAAGATCTATGAAAAAGCTCTACTTACACAGAGTTTTAATACACACGCATATTACCAAACCGTGGGTTTTTTTTTTTTACTCATAGAACCGGGTACTGAAAAAATGTGATCTGACGTATAAACTTTTCATTGGACGTATAAAGGTTGTTCGAACATATAAAGGTACGATTGGACAATTGAACTAGACAAGAGCCGATATTTGGCCCGACTCAATAAAAACGAGCCCGACTCGAAAACGGCAACCATATATTCAATATAAAAATAGTAAAGCAAAAATAAAATGACCGGAAGTAACTTTCTAGGAGAAAACCAATTAATTTAGCAGCCTAGCAGCTTAGAAACGATTTAAAATTTATTTAGTTTAAACTAAATCTCGGAAAAATAAGCTAGCTGGCTATAAAAGTGATTTATTGCATTAATCTCTCTACTTTGTTTCTCCTATTGTTTTCAGGCAAAGTAAAAAAATAATTTTTTATATGTATATTAAGTAAAATTTCGATTTTAAACAAGTGTTGGTTTAATGAAAATTAATGAAAATATTTCAAAATAATTTAGTTAAAAAAATATTTTCATTTCATTTTTGTAATAATTCACATTGAAATTTATTTAATGGGTTTGGTGTGTATGGAGCACAGCAACAACGACATATTTCCTCAGTTTCTGTTGTTGCTTCAACACAATTTAGCATGCTCATACCATTAATAAAATCTTTCTAAAAATGATCTTTCAACAACAATGTAATCCATTGGAAGCCCTATTTTGCAAAATTCGGTCTGAGAGTTGACTGCGAGGTTCCCCCTTAAGGAGACGTTCAGGAGAAGTTCCTAGAGAGTTTCCTCTTTATATAACAACACATCTAATGTGAATATAGAAATAGAGAGGAAATATAGAGGAAACTAAAGAGCTTATGATAAAAATTTTAATCAAATCAGAGCTTAATAAAATAGAAAAAATAAAACAATTTATTCAATCTATAATTATCCCCAATCCCTTATGAGTAAAGATAGAGAGATAGAAGTCTATTGGACGTGAGGCAAATCATTATCGGATTAATAAGAGCAATAAAATCACCATAGAATCGCTGACATTTGGCAGACTAATCAAATTATTTGGCCATAGCTTGCATCCCAACTCCTGATTAAATTTGTATTTACATGAGTTAAATTGATCAAATTCCATGCAACGCCTTTCGGCTACAAACAAAGCATTTATAGAGCTTTTAAAGTCATTCCTAAAATTCCAAAGTTGGTCCTTCTAAATTCAAAAAACGAACAACCTTCTATTACATTTCCTCCCGCAGCTATGTTGGTAGCTGGAAATTATTTGGAATTTTTTTAGAAAAATATTTAAGTGAGGGAAGGTTCAGCTTAAAAGATTATACAGTTATATGTGAAAGTTGGAAATATAAATTTATAATTTATTGCTTCCGGATTTCGAATAGAAGCATTCAAATCTAATTACTTGGATCATGACATTTATTATGTAGATTATATGTGACTATACTTCATCAGGAAACATCTGCCATTGAATTAAACAATAGTTTTTTAAGCTAGAACCAAAAGAGACTCATTTTTGCTCTCACTCTCAAAAATTATCTTGATCCTCCTTCCTTTACTTCCTACCTTAGTACCCTATAATCACCTGTCAATTTACATTTTTTTTCAAATCCTGTTTCATAACCAGTACAAGATATTCATAGATCACAAATATATTAATCACCTGCAAAATCCACAAGGTTCCTCATTAATAAGCAATTCCTTGAAATAATCCAAAACATTATTCAAAGCCTCGCCCCAACGTTCCCGAAGCAATTTGAAAAACATGTGATTTCTACAGCCCTTCCTCCCTGGAAGTAATTGGTCAAAATATGAACGTTGCCATAGTGGATTTGAGCCTTTTACCCATATACCTTTAATTTAATTTTCTAAAAATAGTTTATTTAAAAGGACAAACAAGGTCCCCAATCACCCCATTCCAAGCAATTTTCTGTCTGGTTTGCATTGCCAAGCATGGAAACAATTTGTGGATGAACTTGATGAAAATAATAATTATTTTTAAAACAAGATTAAATAAGGGAGAGCTAAAAACTTAGCAATTGATAGGCATCAGTACTGCTACCTCACCGATCCTACCTTGGAGCTGCTTCCACGTTTTACTTTTACCTTAATTTTCCTTTAAACCTAGGCCCAATAAGCGTTTTAACAGCTCCAATTTTTTCCTTACACTATTACTTTGAATTAAAGTCATGCTTACCTCCATAATAATTTAAAAAAATTAGAATAGATAATATTAGCATGGTAGATGCTTGTTTAATTTTAGAGTTTATAATAATATTAATTATATTTTGGATTTAAATGAATTCATTTATTACCGGGTTATCACTAAACACTCAAAAATACAATCAGTTTTCTCGTAATAATCTGAACCAGTTTGCGCATATTTTAAATTAAATCGCTTTAGTCTTGCTGAATTTTAAATTTCATTGAATAATTTTTAAAACTGGTTTACTGCTTTATTTTTAACAAAATAAAATTTTGAATTCTATAATTATTCCAAATCCTAATGTAAAGTCTTTTGGCATAAGGTTCCAAAAATCTTATCTATCACTCTACAAACTTACCTCCTCCCTTACCGCTCTAAATCAAAGCTATGCCTACCAGGGCCGTATTTTCTTCTGCTTTCGTACCTCCTTCTCTGTCTTATATTGACTACCATATATTAAAGATTTAAATTAAAATTCTACTTCTCTCCAGTGACGCGGGTGTTCCAGTTTTGGAACTGGAACCGTGGAACGGATAATTGCTTTCGTTATCAAAATACCACTTAAAATTAAATTCAGTTGAAATATATTAATGCTTGTCTGGAACCGGTTAGAAACTGAAACCGACATAATTAGAAAAATTGGTTTCGGAACTGAAATTAGAACCGGCAAACTTTTGAAATTTTGGAATTACTGCTAGATTGATCATTTAGCTTCTTAACCCCTCTAACTTTATAAAAAATTATTAAAGGTGTTTAATTCCGATTTTCATTGTTCCAATCCTATTAAAAAATAAACTGATTAATATCTTCGAGAATTTTCTAATATTTTAAATATTTTGTTTACTTGCAATAATTAAAATATTTTAATGCTCATACTTTCTTTATTTTATAGCGATAAAACATCGCACATGGAACGATCAAAGAAAATTGAATAATAAATTATGCACATCCTTCCAATAAATAAATATATCCCTTTCAACCTTGTCTTTGCATAAATCTAGAAATATTTGAAAATAAATTGTCTGGTCTTGCCGATTATATTTTTAAATTTAAATAGTGCATGTGCATTTTTCTAATATTTTATTTAAAATAAATTTGCGAAATAAAAGCCCATGGCGTTTATATTTCAAAATTACCTTGATTGAAAGGACAGGGGAGAGGCTATAAGTAACTCGAATTCTAGTTCTATTAGGCATGAATTTACAGCGTTTTTTGGGTCATTTTTCGAGGTTAAGCCCAGGAGTTTAGCCATACATCTAGTGTGTTCTTATCCTTGAGGTAGGCTTTATTTTATTTTTTGACCATTTCATGCCCAGATCAATGTTACATCATAAATCTATAGTGATTATTTATAAGAAGGCTTTATTTTATTTTTTTGGATCATCATGTTCCTATTTGAAATGCATCTAAAGGGTTTTAACTCATTTTATTTTTGATCTATGTTCCTCAAGGATCCATCCCATCACACCTAACCAGGACCATATTATTAATTATCTCTAGGTGGGTCTTATCTTTGAAGGAGTTTTATTTTTTTAATCATTTAGTTTACCATTTTATCATCCTCATTAAATTTTTTTTTCCTAAATTTCCATTCCAAAAAATATTTTTTAATGAGGCGGACGGATATTTCATCCTTAGAACACTCAAATTTCATCGCGCGTAAAATGCAACTAATCCGTCTAAAACGCGTTTATTTGTTTTTGTTTTTTAGTTGTTTATTGTTCAAAGGCGACAAGCAAGTCTGCCAAAAAAATTTCTCTTTAAATTGCTTTGAAATAAAAAAATTTTTTAGTCGTTTTATTGCCTAAAGTTATAAAAACAAATTTTTCCATTTAATTATTTAAAAGCTAAGAACCAGCTGGCTAGTAATTGATATGACTAAGAGGCGATTAGAGATCTATAAAACAGAAGGTGTAGTCGTGTTGAGCGATTACCTAAATAGAATTATTGGCAGATAGATTTTGGCAGTTTTGAGTTACCGCGATGGCTGGGCTTTTGTATAACTTGTATAACTTTTCCGGTTTCAATTTTTTGCATTTCCACTGTTACATGACAGATGCGGATACGTGGTTCGGCTCCTAAAATCATGGTCCAGCAGATGTTTCCTGGAAACGTGAGAACCTTGACAATGAGAGGCAAGAGTGAGAGAGGAAGTTAATAGAAAGGTTACGGTACTGTGAGAGTAAATATATTTTTTATTTAACTAAATTAATTACTACTTTTTGCGGAAGGTCTAAAAAGTGATTACCCTGGGTATTTAAGAAAGGTTTTACGGTATTCTACTTTATCTCTTGAATTATAACTTTAATTATTTTTTAAATTTTCTAGGCCCTTCACTTGCTAATTTATTTATTCCCCCCTACCTACTTAATTTACTTTCACTACTATAAATTATTCCACTTCAAAACCCCCTCCAATTTTATTTATTTATTTACTATATTCCTTCCTCTTCATCATCCAACTCATCAAAAATTGCTTTTCTTGATCGCGCCGATTTCCCCTACTTAATTCGTTGCTACCCATCGTGTCCATTTTCCCCTCTCATTAATCTCCATCAACAAGAAAATATATTCAAATAACCAGTCTTTGGAAAATTCCAATTAAACATAGAAAATTCCAAATTCCTCCAAATATTTTTAAAATAATTTTTATATTTTTAGAGGAAAAATCAGAAATTAATTTAAAAAATTTTCTTTCAAAAAATTATTTTACTTAAGAAAATTATTTTACCAGAGAAATTTTTTTTATTTTCCCCCTTAAATAAAAAAAATTCCACCTAAGAAAAAAATTCTTTTGGTACTTTCCTTTTATCAGCCCACATTTTTATAACGTTTTCCTTAAAATTTTTCCTTAATATGCACAAAACGGTCATACTTTTTCCTCCCTCACTTTTACACTATTTAACTATGACATGGACAAATCCAAGAGATTAATAAAGAAAAGATTAATATAAACAAAAATTCAATTTCTGAAAAGCATGGATCTGTTCCTGGACTCTGGAGTTTGATTTCTTGAACTGGACTGGATCCTGGGCCTGTAGTCCAGCAAAAATCAAGGCCTTGTTCTAGGTTCAGCTTGATCTCTAGAAAGTTCCTTCAAGAAAAAATTTTTTTCTTTAAGAATCTTCAAATTTCCCCTTGTTTAAAAAAGGGGAAATTTTTTTGTTTAAAAAATATTTTTTTATTTTATTTATTGAATATTTTCGTTATTTTTCTGTTTGTCAATAACACATCTAAACTACAAGTATCTCCGAAAAAAATTTTTCTTCACATTTATTTACATACTTGTTGTCCAAAGTTGAGCTCTTATCGATCTTTAAGCTTCCTCTTTTTATTTTGAATAAATTCGAGAATAAATCGACTGACCCTCCCGCACCCCCCACAACACTCCCCCCCCCCCCCCGACCCTCCCCCCCCCTCCCCCCAATCTTGACTTTTCAATTTTGTGCCACCCAAATAACAATCTAACTTAAACAATAGTTGCCTTAGCTATTCAAAAGCATAGGCTAAAATAAACACCGCTTTACCTTAAGCTTTTGGGTCAACATGTTACTAAGGGACATTAAATGCATTTTTAATTTAGCGCTGACCTGTAAGCCCTCCTGCTTAGCTTAAAGAAAAGAAAAAGCAGGTAAAAAGAAATAAATTTAATGTTTTATGAGGCTTATTGACCCCGAATTAACCCTTGTTTTTGGTGACCCAATGTAAAGTAATTGAAAAACTGACCAAAATAACCCTTACTGATATTTTTTGAAAAAAAAATCTTGGAGAGAAATTCTAGTTGGAAAAGGGGAAACTAAATGAACACAGTTGAATCTCTGTGTAGGGTTTGAGTTTTCGAGTCGGGCCAGACCGGGCCCCCAACCCTATCTCTGAGCCAAAATGGAGGACTCAGAATTCTTCCATTCCGTGCTGGAGACTAAGGCTTTGAGCTCTTTAATAAGAATGAAGAACGATAGATATAAGGCTACTGTATCCCCATGGATATCTTCTAGGTTCATTTTTCCAAACAGGATTTCTTTCCAAAAATATCACCTATATAATTGAAGATAAGTTGAACCCTTGAGGGTGAATTAGGGATAGTGCCGGTTTTTAATTTTTTTATATTTAGACATATGACATAAATTATATGATAATTAAAAATTAAATTTATGCATCATTACAACAATTTTTCTCTAAAACGTGTTCAGAGCGAAGGAAAGTTGTTGTTTGTATTAGACAAAAACAACAATAATACCCAAAACATTAATAAATTAAAAAATTATCCAAATGGAACAGAAAACAGTCTAAACGAGGAGCAAACAAAAATGAATAAAAAATGGCCAACTCCTCCAGCAATGGGTATTTCTGGCAGAAAACTTGACTCGAGGGAGTATGGGAGGCTGGTTAAGATGAAAAAAGCAAGTAGAAGTCAGCCACAACTTTGCGAAATTTTTGATAATGATGGGGATTCTAATAATGGAAAATGGAGGAATAATACAAATATTAATAGAACTTTGTCTACTAGAGAGGAGTTTGGAAGGTAGTTGAGAATTTCTAGGACTTCTAGGGGTTTTGGGTTTCAAGGGTCCTGGCATCTAGTGGGTCTCTTTCTAGGGCTTCTAGTGTTCTCCGAATCCCCAGGGTTAGGTCATCGGCCCACTGTACGATTTCTATTTTGGGAGATCTAGAATCATGTTTACTAATCTAACTATTCTTCTCCGTCCACTGTTCCAGTTCCATCCGGTTTCAGTTTGACGGTTCCTCGGTT